AATCTCAGCGACCAGTCTGCAGAATGACCTGCGGCCGGTGAGGCGCGAGGCTCCCGGGGTGCCGGATGTAGCCATGACCAACCTGTTGACGCGGCGGGCCGCGGGCGGCGGTACGGGACGACAGCAGCAACAGCGGCGGCGACAGCAGATGCAGTTGCATATCCAGCAGCATCAGCAGCGGCAACAGCAGCAGCAGCACCAGAATAGAACATTGGTTAGCAAGTCCTTAGAACTCACACTCATCTCTCAGAGAAAAGAACAAAGAAAGCAATCATCCACATCACTCATTTCACTTGTAGCTTGATGTGGATCATCGTCGGCAGGAGGAGCTGCAACATAGGGGGCAACGAACCATCCCGCAACTTCAATTGCAACAGCCATCGGTCAGCACACATATTCATTCACACTCGGATCATTTGCACTTGTAGTCTAAAAACTTGTCGATCGTTTGTTTCTCTGTTGGAAAATTCGAACTATTTGGCGTCTCAAAATCTGTCAGTTTTAGAGAAACGTATATTTCTGTGTTTCTTTTGTGGGATGGGGTATTTCAGCCGGAGGAGCGGTAAGCAAAGCCGAGTCCATCCAGATGTCTATGTTGCATGCCACTCTTGATACTTACCCTCATATTGCTTCAATGCAGCTTTGTGTAGTCCTTGATTTTTATAGCTAAGACCTGGGTTACTCGATTAGTTTTAGTACTTTCTATGTTTGCATGTGTGGCTTGATTTGTGTTCTTAGAAAATTATCCATTTGAGAATTCGATTTTAATTTCATCAACACTTCTTTTCTGTTTCTTCCAAAACCAACAAAACGAACAAAAATACTTTACGCAATGCATCCATATACATTTATGAATAAAATAATCCACCCACCAATGACTAGAATGAAGACACCGATCACACAGACAGCCACAATCCCTCCGACATCTCAGCTCCGTCCACCAGACGCAATTCCGAGGAAGACAACGCGGCCGTGCCTCCAATGGAACAAGTAAATTCGATTCCCTACTTATTTTCCCATCCTAAATGCACACGAAAAACGTAAATAGAGTTCGCGCTATTCTGTCTGCATGTGCCAAGGATATTTTCGAATCCCAAGCGGATCGCAAGGTAAAGTGGCTAAAGTTTTGTGGCGATCTTCTCTTGCAGAATGCTGGCGGCGAGGAGGAACCCCTGCCACCGCGCTGGTCGATGCAGGTAGCGCCCAACGGAAGGACCTTCTTCATTGACCATGCCTCCCGGCGGACCACTTGGATTGATCCGCGCAACGGAAGGGCCAGTCCAATGCCAAATCAGACGCGTCGCGTCGAAGATGACCTAGGTCCCTTGCCCGAAGGTTGGGAGGAGCGGGTGCACACCGATGGACGCGTGTTTTATATAGATCATAGTGAGTTCTTTATAGTGCAAGAAGGGGGCCTTCAAATTAGAGCCCTGCATGAATGGGTTCAATGAATTATTTTGAATTTTTTGTTGTATATGAAAGAATTAATTAGAATTTTGAGTTTAATAGAATTGAATGAATGAATGGCATGAATTCCGAAATAATTCAAACGACAATTTCTTTTGAAGAAGAAAGGGCCATAATTTTGTGATTAAATCTGCATGCATTTTATTTTCTAAGCAGTTAAAATTGATTTGTTAAAAATATTCCATTTTTTGTTCTCAAAAGAATGCACAAAAAATCTGGCAAATTCATAAAAATTATTCAATCATTTATTCAATTCGAAATGAATTAGAAAAACATTCAATTTATTTCACATAGAATTGAAACTAATTTAACTAAACTCTCTTTGCAGACACGCGAACTACGCAGTGGGAGGATCCTCGCCTGTCCAATCCAAACATTGCCGGACAGGCTGTGCCCTACTCCCGAGATTACAAGCAGAAATACGAGTATTTCAAGAGTCATATTAGAAAGCCTGTAAGTACTCAAAAATAATAAATTTTCTGACAGAAAACTAAACTATTTTTATTACATATTATTTTTAGACAAACGTACCAAATAAATTTGAGATACGTATTCGCCGTACATCGATACTGGAGGATTCTTACAGAATTATTAGCTCGGTAACCAAGACCGATTTACTAAAGACTAAGTTATGGGTGGAGTTTGAAGGAGAAACTGGGTTAGGTGAGTAAATCGAACCAATTTCGTTACTTATAAATATAAATGCATAACTCTCGTTTGCAGATTATGGAGGCCTTGCTAGGGAATGGTTCTATTTATTATCGAAGGAGATGTTCAATCCGTACTACGGGCTCTTTGAGTACTCGGCCATGGACAACTATACGCTGCAGATAAACAATGGCAGCGGTTTGTGCAACGAGGAGCATTTAAGTTACTTTAAGTGAGCATCTTTGTATTTTTAAAGTATATCCCTTTGCTAAGAGTTGAAATTAACCCCACAGATTCATTGGCCGCATTGCGGGCATGGCTGTGTATCATGGAAAGCTGCTGGATGCCTTCTTCATTCGTCCATTCTACAAGATGATGCTCCAGAAGCCCATTGACCTGAAGGACATGGAGTCTGTGGATACGGAGTACTACAACTCGCTGATGTGGATCAAGGAGAACGATCCGCGCATCCTGGAACTGACTTTCTGCCTGGATGAAGACGTGTTCGGCCAGAAGAGTCAGCACGAACTGAAGCCGGGCGGCGCCAACATAGACGTGACCAATGACAACAAGGATGAATACATCAAGTGAGTGGGAAAAATAATCAAATTTCGTTCCAAAGGCTTTAACTTATTTCCCATCCCTACAGACTGGTTATCGAATGGCGCTTTGTGGCACGTGTCAAGGAGCAGATGTCGTCCTTCCTGGACGGCTTTGGATCGATTATCCCCCTGAATCTTATTAAAATATTCGACGAGCACGAGCTGGAGCTGCTGATGTGCGGCATACAGAACATCGATGTGAAGGACTGGCGCGAGAATACTCTCTACAAGGGCGACTATCACATGAATCACATAATCATTCAGTGGTTCTGGCGGGCTGTGCTCTCGTTCTCCAACGAAATGCGTTCTCGCCTGCTGCAGTTTGTGACGGGCACGTCGCGCGTGCCAATGAACGGTTTCAAGGAGCTTTACGGCTCCAACGGCCCCCAGATGTTTACCATCGAGAAGTGGGGCACGCCCAATAACTTTCCAAGGGCACATACCTGGTGAGATGCGACCTTAAGGGGTAATAAAAACGTTCTGCTAACGAGATTCCTCTACAGCTTTAATCGCCTGGACCTGCCGCCCTACGAGGGCTACCTGCAGCTGAAGGACAAACTGATCAAGGCCATTGAGGGCAGCCAGGGATTCGCTGGAGTTGATTAATAACACCGGCAACGGGAGTGAAAACGAATGGCTTTGGCTGGAGGTGCAGCAACAGTTTCAGCAGCGCCAGGAGGAGGAGCAGCTACAACGATTCCACGCATCACATGAACCACAAGATCAACAACAACAACAACGACTTGAGCAGCAGCAGCGGCACAACCGCAACCTCATTGCATCCACTTGGAGTAGCACCGCCAGCAGATCGTGTACTTATTTGTTCGTTTGCTTTTGTATTATAATCATTTTTGCTAGTTTAGTGTTATTTCGTATGTATTTTAACTAGGCGCCAAAACTCACACACAACACTTACACCTTAAACGAGCAGAGGAGCGAAGGATTCAAAATAAAGCTGCGCATGGTGAACCACAAAACCTAACAAAGAGTCCAAATTATATATAAATATATTTATTACATTGCCGACAATTGTAAAAAGTTTAGAACATTTTACAAACTAAGTGAGACGAGAGAAATCCAAACTAACTATTAAATCTATAGAGTCAAAAGTATATCTTGTATGTATATGCAGAGAAACCTTTTTATAATTGTTATTTTTATGCGCTATTCCTCTATACATGCCCACAGCAAATACCTAAAGGCGAAAAATTAAAGTAAACACAAGTTAATATTTGTAATCTGATGGATGCATATTTTTAAACAAATCTAAATTTTCTATTCTGTATAATTGTATGTGTATTCGTAATAATGATAATGTTAGTCCGTAAAAGTCGCTCTTTACTATTAAATAAAAAGACAAACATCAAATATATATAAAAAGAAAACCAAGCCTATAAACTAAAACCTTAAAAATGCAATCAATGTATATTGTATAAATGTTAATTATATACAGACACATTCCAAATGTTTATTGCGAAAGAGAAACTCTGCAAAAGGAGGCCTATGATAATATTATTATTGACCGATCGAGAGTCAATCAAAATTAAATTTTAAAGTCAAATTATGGTAAAGAACGCATGGGCTGGAACTTCTGTTACGAAGCCAGACAGAAAAGCGACATAAAAAATAAATACCAATAAAAAAAGGTTAAAGCTAAGTATTTCAAATCCGAAGAAGTTTTTTGAATCAGCGGAGTGACTTAAGTTTCGTCTATTTATAATTTAAAATATTTCATTTGGCTAATAATGACTTTACCGACAAGAAGCAATTGAATATATAGAGCCCTGCGTGAATCATTCCATTTTTGTTTTTATCATAAAATTTCTGAGTTGTTTAATTCAATTCTAAGTGAAATAAATTTAATGTTTTTCTAATTCATTTCGAATTGAATGAATGAATGAATAATTTTTATGAATTTTTTGAACTTGCCAGTTTTGTTTTGTGCTTTCTTTTGAGAACAAAAAGTGAAACATTTTTAACAATTCAATGTTAACTGCATAGTAAATAAAATTCAGGCAGGTTTAATCACAAAATTATGTCCCTTTCTTCTTTTAAAGAAATTGTCGTTTGAATTATTTTGAAATTTATGCCATTCATTCATTCAATTCTATTAAACTCAAAATTCTAGTTAATTCATTCATATAAAACAGAAAATTCAAAATAATTCATTGAATCCATTCATGCAGGGCTCTAATATATATCCACAGCTTTTTAAAACAACCCAAAAACACAAGATTTGTATGCTCAAAAATATCAGATCATTTTATTCAAAGGACCAGCAACTTAACGAGAGATGCCGGTGTGACCCTTGATCCAGCCAAGGTAGCTGGTGACACGGGTGAAGACGGCGTGGTATCCCTTCTCGCAGCCAGCCGAGGATCCGAAGGAGGTGAGACCAACCTGGACCTTGTCGGAGGCCAGCACCAGAGGGCCACCGGAGTCACCGTTGCAGGTGGAGACGGAGGCGGGAGTGTCCACGCAGATGTTCGTGCTGCGGATGGTCGTGCCATAGTGGCGAGCGCATTCGCTGTTCGAGATGACCTTCATGTGGGCGTACTGCAAGTGGGCGGCCACTCCGCTGGACTCGTCGGAGGTACGGCCCCAGCCGGAGGCGATAACCTCATCATTATCGTAGGTGGAGTAGTGGGACTCCTCCTTGGGCAGCTCAACGTTGTGGATGGCGCCACTGTAGTCCACGTGCGGAATGCGGATCAGGGAGATGTCATTCCTCAGGGTGCGGCTGTTCCAGTCGGCGTGGATGATGATGTCGTCCTTGCTAACGTGGTGCTTCACCTTGGGGCTGTTGCGAATGGTGCTGCCCAAGTAAACCTCGACGGAGTCAACACTGAAGGGTAGTAAAGATTGATAGTTAGCCAGAATGTACAACCTCTTTAGCAGCTTACCCGTCCGTGCAGTGAGCGGCGGTCAGAACCCACTCGTGTCCGATCAGGGAACCTCCGCACCAGGCCGAGGAGGAGCCGATCTTCAGCGATAGTCCCACCTGGTAGGGGAACTGGTCGGTGCGGGCGTCCTCACCGTTGGTGATGCGACCGCCGGGTCCGTCCAGGGAGCGCAGCGCCGATCCGGAGGCGTAGGCCAAGGCCAAGGCGAAAACAATGAGAACCTTCATGTTGGAGCTACCTTTAGAAAGTATGACCCACTCGGTCTCATCCCGCCGCTTTTATAGCCGTGACAGTCCAATCAAGTGACGTCTCCATCGCTATCTGATCTGCCGGCACCTGCTCAAGTGGTCAGGTCTCCTTGTGTAACGCCTTTCGAGCGATATGGGAGTTGATCTGCGCTTCCCATCGCTCGAGCTTGTTGAAACTGCTGAGATACGGGGCCGTGAATCGTCAAAATTCCTCCCAGCCAAAAGATAGTATAACAGGAAAACAATTGGGAATATTGGGGATTTTTTTAGAGGCTCGTATAATCCATGGACAAAAAAATAGAAGAGATAAGTACGTGAGATCTTATCGATTTAATCGAATTTATAAAAATTATAACAGAAGCAGTTAAGATAGTGCGCAGTACCGAGTTTAAAGTCTGCGTGGTGGAAAAATTTTACATTTTTTGGGATAGTTTAAAATTAATAATGACTATGCATTACCTTGCACTTTGTTGGACTATGTCTTAATAATAATGCGTTATTATGATGCAATAAAAGCGATATATTAAGTAATTTGTTTCTAAAAATACATATTAACAAATCTTTTTATTATCATTATTATAAAGTGTTCGAATATATCATTTTAACAAATCTAAACTATATTTTATTGAGCTTATCGAAACGAAAAAGTCACATAACAAAATAGTCAATCCCGAACAGTTCTTTAAAAATACAATTTTTCTTGAACCTTTATGTTTTTCTAAACAGGAAGTTATTTTTTTTAAATTTGTTATATATATGCTACTGGTTAACTAAAAATCTTGGTTATGGGTCAGTTTTCACAAAAAAAATTTTTTATGCATACTTTTTAAGCACCGTATTCCTTTCACTTCTCACCAGTATCCACTGGTTTAGCCTATGTCATTTAATATTATTATTTAATGAAGGTAAGCATTCCTATCCACCTGTAGACACTTTCCATTTTTATAAGCCACTAAAAGTATGCTAAGCAACAAATATGAAATTCTTATCATAGGCAAAGGAAGCAGCTGGTTATCTTCAGCAGTCTATAAAACAAACTGCGTCTCTTTCTGAAGTGTCTTTCTCTTCACTCTCCCACCCCTCCGAAATGAAAGCAACAGTCACAACTAAAATGCTCAACATTTAATTTAATTGCAGTGCCCAGCACTGTTTGATCAGCCATCGAGGGCAATTCTATGAATAGGAAACCCCGCTCACCTCGCCTATCCAATCCAAATAGGCGGTGACGCGTGTGAAAACGGAAGGGTATCCCTTGGTGCAACCTGACTTTTTGCCATATGAAGTAATGCCAATCAGAACATCGGTATTTAGGTTGGGATCGTTGTAGATCAGAGGTCCTCCGGAGTCTCCCGTGCAAGTGGATCGCCCTCCAGTTGTGTCCATGCAGATGTTGGTGGATCTTATGTTGGCGTAGGAGTACCGACAGTCCTCATTGGATTCCACAAAGCGGGCGACATAACGAAGGGAATCGGAGATGGCAGCGGATTCTGTGTAGAGGGAATTTTTGTATATTAATCATACGTATTGAATCACAAATAATTACTTCTACATATTTTTTTTAATTTACTATTATAATGCTTACAATGAACATATTGCAGGAAAAAGCTATTATAATCATTAAAAACATTTCAGTTTTTTACCTTTCGTTGTTTGTATAATTAAGATAAGTTCGGAATTATTTAAAAATGCTAGAACGCAAAATATTTGTTTAAAAAATATTTCAGTCTGTAAATTAACAGAGTATATACTTAATTTTAATTATACTCTAGGAATTCAAAAATACATATACCAGTTCTTACCATCATTCAAGCGACCCCAACCGGAAGCGACTGCGGGGACGTATTCGTAATTGGAATTGCTGGATGAGATTCCGGGCAACCGGATAGGTTTAATGGAATCGCAGAGAATTGCTTCCTCCGGTAATCGTATCAGAGCAATGTCGTTCTCCAGGGTTTGGCAATTCCAAGCAGGATGAAAGTGCACTTCAGGATTATTCGTTTGAAGAAGCTGTCTAGGAGCTAGACGCTGTACTCCGCCCAAGTAGAAAGTGATAGCGACAGCCCTGCAAGATGTTTGGAAGATACTTAGTATGGTCACTAAAAAATAGATCTATTACTTACTTTTCGACACAGTGTGCTGCTGTTAGCATATATCGGTCGGAGATCAAACTACCTCCACACCAGCTAAACAAATCGTTGGGTTCTTCAATACTCAGACCCACTTGATAGGGAAACTGATTAGCCCTGGCCAACTCCCCACCAGCGATTCGCCCATCGATTCCATGACCCAAATCCAGGCAGGAAATCGACCTTCCCTGAATTATAATTAGCAGAGAAATTAAAACCGTTCGGATTTGCATGTTTTTCGGACTCCACTATTTGCTCCACTGACGCACTGAATGAGGATTTATATTTATGGCCCCCTCAATGGGTTAATCTGAAAGTACGACTGGCCATAATGCCAGATTATGGACTATCATTTCGTACTGATCTGAACGCCACTTGATTATAGAAATAATTTTAAATACATATGTTTCGCTTTTCTTTATCACGGGACTCCGATTGGAGCACTCAACCAATAAAGCTAGTTCTGAGTTATACAAACTCCTTTAACAAAGGTGTTTTGCTTAAGATCTCACAATAGAAAATATTTTTTATCATCATTCAAAATAAACAAAATATTTTGAATTTAAAATTTGTAAATAAATACTAATTAATAGATCAAATTTTTAAGACATATGCTGAAAAGTAAACTACAAATTATTTGCCAGCTAAAAGGGGGTGGTGGAATTTCAAGAAAAGATAACCATATCAGCAAACACACATCAAACACATCAGTGAAATATATATTCACGGTTATCAAAGCACTTTAAAATGGGAAATTTGTAAGTAATCGATTTAGTAAAACTATATATTTGTATCATGAGCCAACTGAAGATTTGATTTGATTAAACCAGGCCTCTAATCCCTTAATGCCCTACTCAGACCCAAAATAATCGAATGCTTCACGTGCTGATATTCGTTAGCAGTGATTCATTGTATTCACTGCATTCAAGTGAATTGTTTTTGTGTGACCATGGTAGTAATCCCACCTGGTCTAGGGTGCTTGATGTTTGAGGGTGTCCCTATCAGTGATAACATATGGTTGGGGGCTTAACCCGTTCCTATATAACCGTGCAGCAGTCTCCCTTCCCCAGTTATTTTAGATCGACGTAAAATGATGAAACTTTTGCTTTGTGTCCTGTTGGCGGCCTCCTGCTCAGCTGACTTCTTCCTGTCCGAAGTGGAACCCTTTATAACCAATGGAGAGCTGGCGGATGTGGGTCAGTTTCCCTACCAGGCGGGTCTGAATGTCTCCTATGGAAATTGGAGCACCTGGTGCGGTGGAACCTTGATCTCCCATTACTGGATAATCACAGCGGCCCACTGCATGGATGGAGCAGAGTCCGTAACGGTCTATTTGGGTGCCATCGACATTCACAATGCTACTGAGGAGGGTCAGCGGAGGATCGTGGTCCAGAAGCCGGGCATTATAGTGCACTCCAACTACACGGCCAGCACGGTGGTCAACGACATCTCGCTGATTCGCCTGCCCTCCTTTGTGACCTTCACCGATCGCATAAGGGCCGCCAATTTGCCGCGTCGTTTGAATGGGAAATTTCCCACCTACGAATCCGTGCGGGCCTTTGCCTCCGGCTGGGGACGCGACAGCGATGCCTCCGAAACGGTCTCGCCCGTTCTGCGGTACGTGGAGATGCCCGTGATGCCGTACGCCCTGTGCCGGATGTACTGGAGCGGAGCTGTGTCGGAGAAGATGATCTGCATGAGCACGACCAGCGGCAAGTCCACCTGCCACGGCGACTCCGGCGGCCCGTTGGTCTACAAGCAGGGAAACTCCAGTTACCTGATCGGATCCACCTCCTTTGGCACCTCCATGGGCTGCCAGGTGGGATTTCCGGCCGTGTTCACGCGGATTAGCAGCTACTTGGAGTGGATCCTAAAGCACGTAATCGCACACGGCTAAAGCTTACCTAATTATTGCGATATTATCTGATTACAATTTCAAATAACAAAGAACTATTAATAGCTCCAAAAACTGCATTTTAAAGAATCTTATTTGTTTCAAATGCAAATGTATGCCAAGGTCTTTGGACGTCCTTGTGATTATCATCAGCTTATGAAAGCATTTGTCTGTTTTCACATCACCAACTAGAAAGACTTTGTTGCATTTGACCTACATGTAAACTTTAATCAAAATTTGTATACCCGTTACTCGTAGAGTAGAAGGGTATATTGTATTCGTGCAAAAGTATGTAACAAGGAGAAGAAAGCGTTTCCGAACCTAAAAAGTATATATTTTCTTGATCAGGGTCACTAGCCGAGTCGATATAGCCATGTCTGTCTGTCCGTCTGTCTGTATGAACGCTGAGATCTCGGAAACTACAAAAGCTAGAAAGTTGGGATTGCCCACACATATTTTTGGGCTTCTTACGCAGTGCAAGTTTATTTCAGCCGAGCGCCACGCCCCCTCTAACGCCCACAATAGATTTTAATACGTGTCTGACGCCCACATTTTTAAAGATTTCGGAGAAGTATAAATGCAATCGGACCATCTCCCTTTTACCTAAGTAACGGGTATTTGATAGTCGGGGCACCCGACTATAACGTTCTTTTTAACATCGTCTGATCCCTTATGCTCGCTGCATCCACCTTATCACCAACTATATTTAAGTACCTAGCTTTATATATAAATGCAATCATATATGAGTCAAAATCTGCCAAGTGGGCCACCCCTGTTCCGAAGGTCCGATTTTCATCGAACTTTTTTACTTTTCCGGTTCACAACGAAAATATAAGAACTTCATTTGAACGGTTTTGCGAAATTTTGAGTTTTACCGGAGTTATAGGGGTCAAAACATGGCATTTTTGACACTTTTTCGAAAAAGTTGCACTCAGTCAAAAATTCATAACTTCGGAACGGTAAGAGATATCTTTATGATGTTTTCACTAATCGCTCAAGAATTATTATGGCTTTCCATAAAAAAATTTAAAAAAAATTAAAAATTTTTTTTTCTTAAAAATAAATCAACATTTTTTTTTAGTTTTTTTTTTTCAGTGTTCTTCACCAGCTATAGAGTTTAAAACCATTTGAAAATGAAGTTTGATTCATTACGAAAAGATCAAAAAAAAAAAAAAGAGGGGCCCGGACAAAGGTTTTTCGCAATATCGATTTGAAGAAGGGCGCACAGCGGTTTTCCATACAAAAACGGCTTGCTCGTGAAAATTGGCTGGTCAACACATGCCGTTGCGCGCGTAGCGTCAGCCGACTGCAGCTGTCAATGACGCACTTTTTGTCGTTTTGTATGGGAATCCGCTGTGCGCCCTTCTTCAAATCGATATTGCGAAAAACCTTTGTCCGGGCCCCTCTTTTTTTTTTTTTGATCTTTTTCGTAATGAATCAAACTTCATTTTCAAATGGTTTTAAACTCTATAGCTGGTGAAGAACACTGAAAAAAAAAAAACAAAAAAAAATGTTGATTTATTTTTAAGAAAAAAATTTTTAATTTTTTTTAAATTTTTTTATGGAAAGCCATAATAATTCTTGAGCGATTAGTGAAAACATCATAAAGATATCTCTTACCGTTCCGAAGTTATGAATTTTTGACTGAGTGCAACTTTTTCGAAAAAGTGTCAAAAATGCCATGTTTTGACCCCTATAACTCCGGTAAAACTCAAAATTTCGCAAAACCGTTCAAATGAAGTTCTTATATTTTCGTTGTGAACCGGAAAAGTAAAAAAGTTCCATGAAAATCGGACCTTCGGAACAGGGGTGGCCCACTTGGCAGATTTTGACTCATAGTCTATGCAAAAATCCATATCAAGTGCGTGCGAAGTTCAAATGATTTTAATCTGTCGGGTATAAATAATGGGTGCAAGCACTAGAATTCTTCTATTCGCTTTCAGTACTCTTTCGTTAATAGGCTGTATTCAGATTTCTACTTTACAATGAGTAGCTGCGCACTTCAGAAATTAAGTTTAAGTGTAAAAAGTCAAATTTTACCAAATCTTAAGTTTTGTGACTTTCCGCTGAACACCACATATCGCGTTTTAAGGGCTGAGAAAAAACAAACTACCTATGGAGATCGCATTATGCTTACTCTTAAGGATCACGTAGTGTACTTATCAAAAAAGTTTTTGGATATGCCAGACGAAACTTTAGAAGCTTTTAATACTGGTAATATAACCATTGAAAAGAAGAACATGGATACATATGAATTTAAGAAATATGAGCCCAAGAAGAAAAGGAAACCAAAAATGTTGATATCAAATTCCTTTCTTTGTGAGATTTGTGGTGACATGTTTTTAAATCGTAAATTATATGTCAAGCATAAATCAGTAAATCACACTCACGCTTAGAAAATGAAGGCTACAGTAATGACTCTGCAATCATATCATAGCAATAATATATCCACATCTAGAAATATGGGTAAGAATTACTTGTGAAAAGTTTTAGTTTTTTCAAAGGATGATTTTCAAAGAAATCAAAATTATAGAATACTTATCATCACCGTTATCGGATTCAAAGAGCTGCATCTATGTTTGAAGGTATGTTATTTAATTTGAAAGAAATAATGTTGCTAATGGTTAATTATTTTAGGCGACATACCATCTACATCAAAAGCCAAAAGAGTCTATTGTACAACATGGGAGAAGGATGTTTTATGTTGGTTACACCACTTTCGAAGTATTAAACATACAACTGCGGCCCCCAAAATCCTTAAATGATAGAGTAAAATGTATAACTAATCTTTTTAAAAACCAAATAGTTCCGTATAGAATTGAAAATTTTGAGGCAGAAAATTTTAATTTGATTTAAACATTTTTTATTTATTTTTCTCATATGCCTTAAAATCCTACGTATACATGTTGTTCACCTTTATTTTTTCGATGCCTATATCACCAGAATTAAGAGCTTCTAAAGTCGCGTTTGGAATTTCTATAAACTTTTCTGCTAAGAACACAATGTCATCTTTCAGGGCTAGCATTATTCTATCTCCATAAGTAGTAAAATTGTTCTGTGCTTTTAACACTCGGTAGGCGGTGTTCATAGGAAAATCGCTAAACTTAAGTACTGGTAAGACTTGACTCTTTACACTTATATTGTGTAAGACCTTAAGTCCGTCTAAGCTACTCATTATAAAGTAGAATACTGAATAAAGTCTATTAACGAAAGAGTACTGAAAGTGAGTAGTAGAGTTTTAATGTGGTGATTTAACTGGGCCAGATGACCAATACTTTAGCAACGTAGGACTTTCAGGCACCTCGATGAAACAAACTTGCGCTGCGTAGAAAGCCCAAAAATCTACATTATTAATCCCAACTTTCTAGCTTTTATAGCTATACAAAAGCTAGAAAGTTGGGATAACCAACATAAAGACGCCTTAAACGATTTTAAAAGGTGTCTGGCGCCCACACCTTTAAAGATTTCGGAAATGTAAAAATTCAGTTCTTTTGTGTCCTATCGAAATTTAGAAGAAATTTTTCAAATCGGATCATTCGTTAAAAAAGATCCCGAATAAGAATACACTGTGCAACATTTTTAGGGTTATAAAATGTAACCGCAATTCTGATTTCATTGGCGGAAAGAACTCATCGAAATAAGCTAAAACCCATTTGGGTTTCTCTGGCTTAGCTCGCGTTTACCTATTATAGCGAGTTAAACCGATTAAAATTTTACTATCAAGTCTTCAGTGATTATATAGCTATGAACCCAAGGAACTAAATTGACAAATGACTCTTGCGAAGACGTACACCTAGCGCGTTAAAAATCGAAAAATTAGGCAAATTTGTTTTTTAACGCGCTAGGTGCACTAGGTGCTAAGTGCGCAAGAGTCATTTGTCAATTTAGTTCCTTGGGTTCATAGCTACATAATCACTGAAGACTTGATAGTGAAATTATAATCGGTTCACAAGATATGGCCGTTACAAATAAATTTTGTATGTAAAACTTTAACTCGCTATAAAAGGTAAACGCGAGCTAAGCCAGAGAAACCCAAATGGGTTTTAGCTTATTTCGATGAGTTCTTTCCGCCCATGAAATCAGAATTGCGGTTACATTTTTCATGTTGCACTGTGATATATATACTTTATAGGGTCGGAAATGCTTTCTTCTCCCTGTTACATACTTTTGCACGAATACAATACACCCTTTTACTCTACGAGTAACGGGTATAAAAACCGATAGATCCGCAAGAAAAACACAGTTTGTTTAATTTTTTCCTGATTTTTTTGTTGTTTATTTTTTGCATTTTTATTGTTTTTTGTTTAGAATTTTTGCCTGGTTTTGAAGATTTTTATTCGTGCCCTCGTGGGGGCGCGCAAGTGACGAGTGGATTCATATTCGAACGCACAACCAAACAATCCCAATGAAACCCGACACTTGCTCGCCACCCGAGCGGCGGGTTTTCCATTTGCTTTCTAAGTATGTACAAAAACTTAAGTAAGGAGAGGGCGAAGGGTGGGGGTGGGGGTGGGGTGGGGTTGATGGGGTCAAGAATAAGTATGTAAAAGAAAATCTAAATCTTAGATACAAATTACGCATTCATTCGATCGAAAGTGGGAGATCGATCGATTAGAAAAACGGGTTTCTCGGGTCCCCAACTTAAAGTAAATGTTTCTCGATTGTGTGGGGTGTGTGTATGGATGTGTGGTGTGTTTAGAGCTATATATGCTTGCAGCTTAATGCAGTAGTAGAGAAATCGAATACGAATATACGAGTACGAATAGTTTTGAAAAACGCGCAACGTTCGCTTAACCTTTGCCTTAGTCGAAAATTACATAAAATTTCATTTCATTCTCATTTTCGCCTCGAATATATAGATCTCGCTTAGTTTTCTATATGCCTAACTTTTGTTTTTCATCTTTTAGCATTTTGTTAGTTTTTCGTTCGTTTAGCTTAGTTTTGCTTGCAACGTTTTCGCTTGCATTTACATAATTTTTAAACCTTTTTGTTTTCTTGCACAACAATTTTACTTTATTTAAAATTTTGTTTTGTGTTTTTTTTTGTTTGCATAATTTGTTTTCGTTTTTGGGGGTTTTTTGTTTGTTTTTGTTTTGGTTTTTTTTTGTGGTAATTCGTTTCGTAATTCTATTTAAAAAATAAATTAAAAACAAATGAAAGCTACGTCAACGTTCCAGGCGATCTTGAAACATAATATCCTCCGCTGAAACAATCAGATCTGCTTAGTTATCTTCATTGAAAACTGAAAATACGCTACACTGTATATATTGCTATGTGTCGAAAATAAACTTGGAAATCGGTTGGTAATCAGGTTGGTAATCGTTCAAAAAGGAAGGAAAAACTTTGCTAACTAAATATAAACTTCATCATTCGTTTTCGGATTAGCAACTAGGTATTAATTAAATAATTTATTATGTAGTTTGGCGTCTTCAATTTTGAATCAAAGCGCTGGCTTTCTTTTCTGCTATCCTCTTCCTCAACTACGTGCTCCTCCTGCTTCTGTAGATTATTCTGAAGTTCTTACTCTGTCTGGCTTGCATTTAGCATTTAGTTGGGGCCGTATTTAGTATATTTGCTAAGCGGAAGTCGGTTCTATATATCTCTCGTTTTGTGTGAGTGTGTGTTTGTTTGTGAGTGGCTATATACAGCTTACATTGTGTGTTACGGGTATTTGATTTGCTAACTTAAATGCTAGACGGCCATTGCTGCTCTGTGTAAATATTCTGCCTGTTCGCCAACAACTCTCGCTTACAACTAGTCTGTGTTTTATGTATGTGGGCGTATATGTATGCTATTTATTATAGTTATAAATTAATTAATGCTGTACAAAAGTTCTCGCGTTTTGAGTTTTGCGTTCCTCCTCTTCTCTTATCTTCTCCCATCTCCTCTCGATTCGACTCGCCATTAAGATTTTTAGCTTTGCGCTTAACTAAAATCAATAATGCATCTCACCAAACAGACCTAACAACTAGCCTACCATCGGACTTACTGAGGTTCTATACATATATATCAAAAAGTGCGACCGCTACCACTACTTCTTGTTGTAGACGGGCATGGGGGGCGGCGGTGCCAGCCCAGTGGCGGAGGCGGAGGGCGGTAGAGCGCTGGTCGGCGCCATCAGCATGGATGGTGGTGCGTTGCTGGCTAGCGGAGCACCCATTCCTCCCATCAAATTGGGCACGGCGCCAGCACCGCCAAGGGGATTAAAGACGCCGCCACCGCCTCCAGCTCCATTGTATTTCGCATAGTCTTGGCTTTTGCTCTTCTTGCTCTCCTTGTCGCGGTCCCGATCGCTGTGCTTCTTCTTGCTGCTGCCGCCGGAACTGCTGCCTCCGGAGGAGCTGTATCCGCCGGTGGCGCCGTAGGGAGGAGGAGGAGCAGGAGCAGCAGAAGCTGGAGGCAAACCATAGCCAGCAGCTGCCGGCAAACCCGCCGCCGCAGAGTAGTTATTGGGCTCCACCTTGTTCTTGCTGATCTTCAGCTTAATGGGAGCCGCGGCGCCATTAGGATTCTTAATCACCATTTTCAACGGCTCATTGGCCAGCGAGCTGTCCTTGCTGCCGCCGCCGCCGCTGCTGCTGCGATCCTTCTGCTTGTCCTTCTTGTGCTTCTTGCGCTCCTCCTTCTCCGTCTTGTCCTTGGACTTGTCCTTCTCCTTGTGTTTGTGCTTGTCCTTCTTCTTTTTCTTCTCGGACTTGCTGCTGCTGCTCTCCTCCTTGATCTCCCCGGCCAGCTTGGTGGGCACTTCCAGGTCCATGGGAGCGGGGCCACCAGCCAAACTGACTCCCGGTTCCTTCTTGATTGTCACCGGCATGGTGGGCATGGGCTCGAGCAGTTCGGCCGGCGGTTTAAGGCCAGGCATGGTCAAAGCATCGGGTTTTAGGAGCGAGGCGTTGGGCGGACAGAAGCTCTCCTTCAGCAGGCTGCGCACCAGATCCGGCGTGGTCTCGATCCCATTGGACATGTTCAAGGGCGTGTGCTTCTCCTCGTACGTGGGATAAGTGGGTAAACCAGTTGTGTTGTCCAGCTTTCGCAGCTTCTCGCGCGGCATGGCACTGCTGTCCAGCTCGTCCAGCTTGTTCAGTCCGTACTGGCTGCCGCCCGAGATCTCGTTGGCCCGCTTCAGGCTGCCGCTCTCGCCGGGATTGGCCAGCAGGTCACCGCCATGTTTCTTGTGGGGCGGCAGCATCGGTTTCGATGATCCCGAGGCGGAGGAACTGCTGCTGATTGGCATCGCGGGACGGTGCTTGTCCTTTTTGGTGGGCGTGAGTCGCTCCTTTTTGGGACTTTCCTTGTCGCGCGGATGGCTGTTCAGCTTGTAGTCGTGACCCGGTGGCGCTGGAGGTGGCAGCAGTCCGTTGTAGGGCTGCGGCTGCGGCTGCGGCTCCTTCTTGATGTCGGGCCACTCGGGGCTGAACAGTGAGTTCTTGGACTGCTGCTGACTGGCCTCCGGTGGCAAATGTTGCTGCTGCTGCTGCGGCACTGGCTGCTGCATGTGGGCGTAGCTTTGGCTCTGGGCATAAGGCATTTGCTGCTCGTAGGGCGGCATGCCATGGACGGTGGAGCCGGATTTGCTGCGATGCCCGACGTAACCGGAAGGAGTCGGTGGCTGCTGGGAACCATTGCTGGCGCCCGGATATCCGCCACGCGACATCAGTGGATTCAGGGGGGCACTATTACTACTGTATGGCGGCGGAGCGTTCGGGTACATCTTGCTGCTCTGGGACTTGTCCTTGGAGGCAGATGCGTTGGAGGCGGATGGATGAGGGGCCGGCGGCTGTTGCTGCTGCGGCGGCGGCTGAGACTTGGAGCTCGAAGGCATCTTGTGGCTGCCGTGCGGGGGCATGGCAACGCCTACTGGCGGCATGCCTCGCGAGGATTTGTGGTAGTCCACGGGCATAGACGGTCGGCCGCCGGGCTGTTGGCTCGACGACGACGACGAGGATGAGCTGCTGCGCTGGCTGCTGCTGCTGCCCGAGGAGCCCAGGCCGCTGCTACTGCTACGCTGGTGACTGGAGGGCAGGCGACTGTAGCCCGACTGCTTGGACTTGTGATCTGCAAGGCGAAAATGTTTATTACTGGCTTCTTTACAGAAAAGGAAGGTAAACTCACCTGGATGCACTTCGGGCATGCCACTCGGGTAGCTGGGCATCTTGTGATTGGAGGAGGAAGACGACGAGGAGCTGCTGCCCGGCACACCGCCCACCGAGGAGGAGCGCTGGTGGCCGCCATCCTGGCGCCTCTGTTGCGGCACCATTGCCGGTGGCGGCAGCAGCGACGACTGATCCCGCTCCCTGTCTCGCTCCCGCTCCCTTTCCCGATTGTCGTTGCCATTCAGCAGCTCCGGTGGCGGCGTTATGTTCGAGTGATAGCCCTTCATCATCTCGGTGATCTTCCAGTCCTCCTTCGGCTTGTCCTTGCTGTTGGCCGTCCGATTGCTGGCTCCCTGGGCGATCGCCTTGATCGAATTGAGCTTGGACTTGAGGCGGGCCGGACTCTTCTCGTAGATGGCGATGAACTCATCGGTCAGCTGCTTCAGCAGATCCAGCGAGACGCTCTTGTCCACGTAGTAGAACCAGTGCTTGCCCTCCGTCGACTGGGGGATCTCCCAGCGGGACCACTTGCAGGCCAGGTAAATGCAGAAGCAGGCCACCACGGTGGGGCGGTATTGCAGGCACATCGAGGTCAGATGCAGGCTGTGTTAAGTCCAGGATGGTTAAGTCAATTTAGTGACGGTTTTGTATGGGGGGGATTAGAAATAGAGTGTAGTTGGGTGAGTGCGTGCAGGGGGATAACGTCTTATTTTTGTAATTTTCGGGATTCTAAACTCAAAATTCGCTTAGTTCCAAAAAATATTCTTAGAAATGAAAATTATTTTTACTATTTTTGGCAGGTAATTCTGCTTTCTCGCAGATGTTTGGAAGGCAAAAGATTTACAGCGGTTTAATCTTGAATTTCTCGCGTTTCCCGACAAGACAATCTTGTTTTTCTAGGAAGTACAGCCTATTCCGTGATATTTGGCGGATTTCCCGATACAAATTACAATGTTATTGCAGGCAACTGCAGATAATTAACCCAAAGGGACCTTTTTCGGTAAGATGCGGGATTTGTAGAGCCTGGCTGCCTGTTGCTCAGTGACTTTGGGTCCTCACCTTTCTATTGTTTCGGCCCAGTTACCTGGGTCTATTAGCTATAAGCAGGTAAAATGCTCTACCACCTGAGGATTGGGCTCCACTTTCCACACCCGCACACACACACACACGCACCGGATATACCACTCTGGGGGCTGATCTCTCGGAGATCAGATTATACCATATACCATAGCGAATCGCTAGCCATACCTGTTCGAGGCCAAGAAGTACGACGTCTGCGCCAGATCCTTGCATGCTAAAATATACCACAGTAATCAGTACCATCTGACGTGTGAGGGGAACATGGCTTGGGTCGGATGTGGGTGGTTGGGTGCCTACCTTTGACCAGCTGGCAGGTGCGCACCACATGCGTGTGCGGATGATCGATGGCCACATCGAAGCCCAGCGTCTGCAGCAGGACGTTCTCGTTGAAGACTAGCTCCTGGGCGAGTTCCGCGTAGTTCTGCTCGGTGGTCGGCGGCAGGCACTTGTTGGCCGCCCGGATGACGTGCTCCAGCTTCCGCGGCTGCTCCTCCACCTTGGCGGCCAGAAACAAACTCGCCGAGGCCATCGAATTCCGGTGAAAGTGGGTGAAGGAGTGGAAGGCGTAGAAGCGATGCATATACACGATGGCCGTGTTGATGCACAGCTGCGAGACCTGCAGACGCTGGCCCATCTCCTGGATCAAGTAGGCGGTCATCTGGCGGTACTGCAGCTCGTCGTCGCCCTTGATGCCGCACCTTCTGCTGGGCGAGTTGACCAGCTGGTCGTTGCTGAAGTACCAGATCTTGTCCTTCTCGAAGGGCAGGTTGTTGTTGCTGGGCGGGATCCCGCTGGCGGAGGCGGACGAGGCGGCAGCGGATGAGGCGTTGGCCGCCGGGGGCATTGGCGTGGCCAGCAGACTCATATTGCTATTTTCTCTTTTCGGGAGGAGGGAGGGGGCGTTCGTCTTCACATGCAACCTCCTGCGAGCAACTTGCTCCCCGCTCTCTTTTCGGCCGATTCAGCTGTAGGAACTAACTGTACAAAGAGGAAGAGATCGCTCTTTCTTTGTCGGCCGTGCTGGAGTGCGCTGGTATTGGTATTGCTATTGGTACTGGTACTGGTACTGCTGTCCGTAGCCCTGTCCGTGTGCGTTGCTGCAGTGGCGGGGGTGGCGGCGGTACGGAGGGGGCAGCGGGGATCGCACAGCACATTGGCTACGCCACACTCGTTGGGGCACAAAAACTGCGATTCGGGTTCGGAACGAGGGGATATATCCACGGTCCGCACACTTTTTCCGCCGCCGCGTCTCTGCCCTTGCGTGCGTATGTGTGTGTGTATGTGCGTGGTGGTGGTGTGTGGTGTGGTGAGGTTTTCTGGAAATTGCGACTGCGGCGGAAACGAAACGAGACGAAAAACACACTAACCGCGACACCAGGCGACGTGTTATGCAACTTTCGTATCAATTCATAGTTATTCGCACTGCATTCGCCGACGCGTCGAGCACTTGAACCATTACGGGTCGTTTACTGCACGCTTTTAATTCCACAACGCATCACAGATTCCATTCACACAGTGACAATGACAAACTTTGCAGAAAAAAATGTATTTTCAAGTATGGCCGTCGGCAGGGTTGTCAGACTGTGAAACGCTACAATCGATATTTTTATGTGCTATCGATGTTTTCTAAAATGTGACAGAGCCGATGTTTTCACCGATGTCACGGTTTGTACTCAACTAAAAACAACTAAAATAAAACAGTGGACGAAAATATTAGCAAATTTAATTTTATCCTAGTTCGATTTCATTAGTACTCATTAGAAAGGAGTGCTTTCCAATTTTCTGTTTAAGGTTTTTTTTCTTTTAAGCGGTTTATTTGTCTTGTTTTCAAGTACGTTTGCAATTCTTCGCAATAAATAATAATAATTTTTAACAAGTTTTAACAAAAATCGTACATGTGCATTGCCATTCACATGTCGGTGTTTAGTAAAAATAGCAAAAATATGGGGGCGGACGTTCTGAAAATATACTAAATACAGTACGGCCAGCGATGTTCCAAACCATGGTTCAGAACCGCACTTACATGGAATGACTTCACTGAAAGAAATACTTTTTTATTTTAAAACTTAAATATGTGACAAAATTTATTTCCAGTGAAAACAAAAATAAAAAATAATTAACAAAAAATGAAAAAAACGTAATGTACTAGATAAATTGATTTAGCATTTCTTAAGGTAAAATTAAATTTTCCAAAAAAATGTAGACAAATGAAAGTCGTTTGTATTTCAAATGTTAGTTTGGAAAAAATTAGTATCAATATTTCACTCAATTACCGGCCGCCAATAACAATCTCAAAACTGACATAAAAACACATTTTTGTTTTATTGTTATTTATAAAACAGATAATATATATATTTTATAGTTTGTAGATTAAAATATACAAAATTTAGCTAAAAACCTTAAAACTCTTATGTTGTCATAACAGTAAATAATTATGCTAGCTTGTGACTGCCGCTTTTGCTTCATTTTTAATGGATTCTTATAAAAATTAATCTAATCCGTTCGCTTGCGCTTTCCTCTAACCATAAAATTCACCTACATACCATATCCTCGATCCAACTTGCATTTCCTTACTACGTATGCTTTAAAGTAGATATATTAGATATATTGTGGCTGGCTTTAGCTGATTTCTCATCGCAGACAGTTTAAAATGTGTCTGTCAAATGTACAAAGATCAAATAAAAATTTAAATAAATGTTAAAAACTTAACTTAGGTTTGTTAGCCGTAAACTAATGGTTGTTAGTACATACAACATATTTATCTAAATCTGGGGCAATCCGCCAATTTCTCAGGCGCCATAGAGAATATTGAAATAATCGCTCGTTCGATTTAAAAGCTATATAGTTCGTTTCGTTTTTTGAGTTACCAATAGAAAGTTATGATGTCTTAGCCTAGAATAGAAATCCTGCTCAACGGCATCGGTATTCATTTATATTTAATTTAGTTGGTCTTATCCAGCATTCGGTGTTTTCCAATCTATCAAATAATTGGTGTATACATATAAAATACGTTTATAATCAAGTGGAATCATGAGGTCCAGAAGTTGTTTATATACAATTATCGTGCTAAGCGTGTATAAATGCTTTGGGGTCGGAGTTTCCAACTGTTTTTAGGCTATCGAAGTGAAGGAAAGTCTTTCTGGGAATTGCGAAAATCAAATTACGAAGTACTATCTCGATTTAAAGCTGCATTCTCCGGATTGTGGCTCAGATTCATGTTTACTGATTTCGTTGTACTCGAGTCGCGACTTTTGTATTTATATGGTTCTATTCTGCTTCTGTTTGTGGGTGTGCTTATAGCTAGCATCCTTATAACATTAAATATTCATTCACTAACAACTAATAACTGATTTATGCTAGGTAATAATGGTAGATGCGATGCCCTACGCTAATAAGTAGACATACATATAAATCCATGATCTGTGGGGAAACCTCATAAACTGAGACCTCGTGAAATGGTGTCAAATGCCATACTGTGTCTTAGAACTACAAAATACACCAATTCGACTTTATCTAAAATATGTGATCTCGACTTTAAATATCGGCAATCCGTTCGACTATCCTATATAGACTTTGAATATACTTTAACTTATGCAACTTTATGTACTTTTCACGGGAGGTATATCTAGATTCCAAATTTGTAGCGGGTTCCATATATTTGTATTTGTATCATATCTTTTGCTTACGTGCTATTCTTCATTTCGTGTTTGTGTTTCTTTTTGTTTTGGACTGTTTGGACTCGGTGTAAATAAAACGCATGCACAAATTGAAATAATAATTTTATTTAAAAAATAAAAAATAATCATAAAAAATTGTTTACAATGAACAGAGTTGAACTCAAGACTCACTTTGTTTATTTGCATCATCAATCACCAATCATCATAAACAAAATGATATATTGTAGATTTCATCTTCACGTACACATAATAATAATAATAATAGATAAAGGTACTTAGAGAACGCAACTATTAAAGAAATAGATTAAAGAACTAGGAGTTGGTTTTATTCTCTTTTCCTATTCAAGGTTTCCTTTTAAGAGATTGCACGTTTTAGGCAGTGTTTGGAAATTGTTGTAGAAGTTGTCGGTATATTGCATTGAGGATTGCGGTTGCAGTGTTCTTGAAACTATGGGTCAGTATCTCGGTTCTGTTCTGTCCGGTTATCTGTTCAGATCTGTTCCATTCAGTTAGGCTTGTTTCGATTTGTGGCAGTGTGACGTTAACAAGAATACGATAGTTTAACTTTACGCTTTAAAAATAAACTTCAGATCGAGAGAAAGTTGAGTTTGGTTTGGTGTTCTAGGACTGCTTAAACGATGGCTCAAGGAGTGCTTTTCTTCTGGTTTATCCTGTGAGTTTTTTTTTTTAGCTGTTGATGTTGTAAATATACAAAACTTATCAAATAATAATTACAAGAAAGTTTAGACCACCAGTTTTCTGGGTTCTTAGCTCCAGTTAGGATGTGTGTGTGTTTTTTGTTGGTTTTTGGGGAAAAGTTAAGGGGTTTAGCTGGAGAAACACTTAAATAAATAACCTAAACGTAGTCGTAAAAGTAGCTAAAACTATGAAATAATAAATTTCCATCTCTCTTCTTTTATAAAATAAGCAACAAAAACAATTAGCCCAAGCACAGACACCCACGCAGATCGTTCAGATCCGCATATATGTATATATGTAAAGTTATATCCTCTGCACTGTGCTTGTCCTTGGGCAGCGGGGGGGCTGGGGGACACTTGAAAGGGCATTAGGCTAGGCATATACATTTAGATTTAGTTGTAGATCAATAGAGATAGAGAATTTCTTGCAGCTATATGGGTTCGTACTCATTTACATATTACATACATTTATCGAATATCAATATGAATCAATTCGGTCGTCCTTCGTCCTTCCGCCATAGCAATAGCAATAATAATATTAATAATAGTATCAATAATAATAATAACCAATAATAACAATATTCATTACAGTTAGGGTTTACAATTAAAATTACAGTTACAAGTACAACACTAACGCCAATGAATAGATCATTATTTACCGCCGATTTAGCTGGGTGTATGTATAGGGTACAGGACACAGGGTGTGAATATATATATATATATTTATGTATATATGTACGCGTATTGGGACTATCAGCTAAACGTAACTTATGCTTATCGCTGGCTAACCAAGAAACTCAACGCATGTACAAAGAAATCCCCACCTCGCGTGGCCTTCAGCCACTATTGCCGCTAGCCGGTTGATTTTACCCCACCCTCCAGAACCTATTGCCATTCCAGCTCTGTATATTTACAGGCCTCCTCCTTCTCCTCATCTCCTCAGACGCCATTGCAGTCGATCTCGACAATGTCCTTGGGCACATCCACAAACTGGTAGACCAGCCGCTGGCCATCCACCTTGGCCAGGATGCCTCGCTGGTAGTAGTACCTCAGCGCCCTGCCCATCGTCTCGTAGTTCATGTCCGGCTTGTTCTTGTGCATGCCCCACAGGCGGGACACCGCCTTCGAGTCGACCAGCTTGAAGACGCCCTTCTCCCGGTTCGTCCACTTGATGAAGCGCGGACAGTACTCGCGATCCTGCAGCAGCTTCAGCAGGAATTCCCACAGATAAGTGGTGGATCCCTCCCGGCTGCGCCGCTTCACGCCCATCTCGAGCTTGGGCTTGCGCGGCTTCTTCGCCTTGCGCTGCTGGAAGCCGCCCAGCTCCAGCATGTAGGAGAGATCGTAGCTGACGCTGGACGTCGCCGGCTGGATGACGCTCTGCGATCCGCCCGCCGCCGCCGCTGCCGTTGCCGCGGCCGCTGCACTGGCGCTCAGCATTGCCGCCGCTGCAACGGCACTGCTGCTGCTGCTGACGACGGAGGCCGCTGCTGCCGCCGCCGCCGCTGCAGCGATTGTGGAATGCGTGTGCTGGCCCGCGTGCGGATGCGAGTGCGGATGGGAGTGCGGATGTGGATGCGGACCATTCAGCTGCGAGTGCGGGTGTTGCTGCTGTTGCTGTTGCTGCTGCTGTTGTTGCTGCTGCTGCTGCTGTTGGTGCGACAGTTGCTGGTGCAACGCCTGTTGCTGCTGGTGCGACAGTTGCTGGTGAGCCAGTTGCTGTTGCTGCTGCGATTGCTGCGACTGTTGCTGCTGCTGCTGGTGCAGGGAATGATAGCCGTTGATGGTGGTTCCGCGCTGGGACGCCGCCGCCGCTGCTGCTGTCGGGGCGTTGAAGTAGGACGTTGACAGGTAGGCCGGCGCTTGGGGGTTTCCTGGCCCTCCTGGTTGGCCACCCCCGCTGCCGGCGGCACTGCTTCCGTAGTAGTTGTCGGGCACTGAAAGGAGGAAATTCAGTTAGATTAGATTGGATTGGATCAAGGGAAGAATGTGTTAAATCACAGGGTAAACTTTGATCTATGACCATATTAGGTCCCTCAGATCTATAAATTTATTTGGGGAAACAACTGTTTTGTTAAGGTATTTCAAAAAGTTTAGTTTTCTTAAAACTGTAATTCGTAGAACATATTTTAAGAATTCGGGTAATCAAAATTACCAAAAGCTTTATCTCTCTAAAAATCTTTTTAAATTTTATCTATTTATTTTGAAATAAAAAATGGCTTAGAACTGCAAGGACGATGGAATAACATATGTCGATAATATTACGAAATCCTTTCATTGCTTGCCAACTATATCAACTATGTGTTTTTTTAAGAAATTTCAAACAGCTTAGTTTCCTTTAAACTTTAGATTTTATAACAAATTTAAATTCATAGAAATTTAATTACTTAGGCTACAAGTTTCAAAGTCTATGATTTTTAAAAATCATTTAAGTTTGATTTCTTTATTTTGAAATAAAACATTATACATTTATAAGAACTTTTCAACCTCTAGAGGTCGTGCGACGTATACTTAATATTGCTTTCGTTTTTTTTATACGAAAATTAATTATTTTTAAAGTTATTTATTTAACATATGACTAAATGCAAAGACTTATATAAAAAAAATTTTTTTTTTTAATTTTGGATGTCTAAAGTTTTAAGTTGCTTTTATTTTAAAATTTAATTAATATATCCCGAAGAATCTGGCTGCTGGCTACCCGATCTGTCCCATTGTATTTAGATCGCAGATCGCTCGCGACTATTTCACACTGCTTCTGTTTCTGTGCGGTGGCACAGGTATAATTTTGTATGCTATTTAGTAAGTTTATTTTTTTTACATCCGGCGTTGCCGTTGCCCAATTTCGCGGCTCAGCCAGTTGGCAGTCGGTGGATTCGGATTTGGATTCGGATTCGATGGACCATTTTAAAGGGGGCTGTTGCAAAGGGCGTGGGGTGGGGCTGGTTGAGAGAGGAGTGGAGTGGAGTGGGGGGAAGACTGGAGCTGAATAAAAACAAAAGTGAGCAGCACGCTCTCACCAACACACAGACACTCCGCACAGAGAGCAACGCACGCTGCGATGTTCGTGTGTTGCTCGTGTGTCTCATTCGTGTTGCTGTTGCATTTGCGTTGGTGTTTGACACTCTCTCTCTATCTCTCTCCCTCTCCGGGAGAAAAAAGAGAGCGGGAGAGCAGCATTATTGCCACATTGGCGCTGCTTTACTGTTGTTGTTGCTGCTGCTGCTGTTGCTTTCGTTGTCGTTGTCGTTGTGACCTTCACAATTTGCGCAAAGGCAATGTGTCGATGACCACAGATTTTTATACAGCAACGCGCACTCACACACACACACACCCAGCTGGCCGAGAGCATAAAAGCAGCGAGTGCACCACAAGCTCATTGCAATTGATTGTACTGCTTGTGTGCCTGTGTGCGTGTGCGCCTTGTTTGCCTGACATTTTTGTAAAAAAAAAAGAGTAAGTTGGACTAGGAGTGCATTATGTATGCAACAGATTATAGCAACTTCAGATTGATTGCAAAATGCAAATGCCTCATTAGGTCATATGATTAATTGGTCAAGATAAAACCGTTCTAAGCCGCGATCCAATCGTTAACTTGAACTTTTTGCCAATAAAGGGTAAGTCCTGAGCTTTTGAACTTTTAGAGCCATATACAGTTCAAATTATTTTAGGAATTGATGTGATTATTTTTAGATTTTTATGTCAATCCGTTCTGGGCGAAATTTGCTACTGACCGTTTTTTTGGTAAAGACAAATATTAATAAAGATATTGTATTGAACGGTTTTCTGTTGCATTCTTTATAAACAAAAGAAAAACTCTTTTAAAAAATTCCGCATTATCTTTGGAGGGGATTTGAAAACGATTTTTATAAACTCTATACTTTAACTAGTGTATTGAAAAATATGTACATTAAAGTTCTTAAAATGTCACTTTTTCCTTTGGCAACATAACTTTTTGGCTTATCCACATACTTAAAGTGATATAAAGCTTTTTACATCCTTTAATCCTTTTCTTTTAAGCTTGCCTGCTCACACAGTTGGAAATGGCCACGTTTACCCCGGACATATGTACTTGTATACTCACCCCCAACACTGCGATTCCATATGTTCCGCAGCGAATTCGCCGCATTGTTCTGGTATAAATTCGGATGCAGAAAGGTGCCCGTGTGCAGGTGCGCCGCTGCCGCTGCCGCCGCTGCTGCTGCGGCCGCTGCCGACGCCGAGGTGGCCGCTGGCATCCCGAGACGCGCCTTCAGCTCGTCGGCGCAGGGCTGGCCACCGGAACTGGAGCTGTCCACGTCGGAGACGCCGCTGTCCGCGGGACTGGGCGGAAATGAACCTGCGAACGGGATAGGGCGGCGCGGAGCGAGGACGAGCCAAGAAAAGGGGCTATTAGCAATCGATATGGCTCGAATCGAGTCGAGGGCGTGTGCAGTGGTTCACCTTGCTGCCGGACACGCTCGCCTCACTATCAGTTACACTCGAAAAAACGTGATCTCTTTTATTTTTTTAAGTGATTTACGAACTAGTTTTTCCGAAAAAAGCTCCTTTAAGGAGATTTGTTATGAAAAATTATTTTAAAATACCATGCGGACGAGGAAATGGCCATAAACGTATTCTTTTAGAAATAATTTAACAAGTAAAGGATGTTTTACTTAATAATAGATTTAATTTAACATTTTATATATTTTTAAGTTTATTTTAAAAGGTTGTAATATTGCAAAATTATATTTACCCTGTTACCACTTATAAGTGTTTTTAATAAAAAATGTGTTACTTTTTAATTTGTTTTATTAAAACTAAAAATCTGTAACGCAATATCGTTGTATCTTTAGGTATTTATAGGAATTAATTATTAGAATATAATTTAAAAACCTCTTTTAAAACTACTCTTTCCCTTTACGGAACGACGAGAAAAATAAATACCAATTTAATGTCCCTTAAGATCATGTTGTTTTTAGGCAATATTAGGGAATTGATAATTTGTTTCGTGTATATTCACCTGTTGTGGCCGTCGTGTAGTTTCTGTGGTGCGGATTGTGGATAGCACCGCCGCTGAGCAAATTGTGGAGCAGCGGGCGGTGCGGTATGGCCAGCGGTTGTTGCTGCTGGTGGGCATTGTTGCCGTTGTTGCTGCCACCGTTGCCTGTTGCACCGTGTAAGCTGTGCTGCTGCTGTTGCTGCTGCTGCTGCAGCTGGAGCGGGGTGAGCAGTGCATTCTGCTCCGTCTTGATGTGGAGCAGAGCGGTGGCGCCGGCAAAGGTGGTCGCATTGTGCGGCTGCTGTTGCTGGTGCTGCTGCAGGTGTTGCTGTTGCTGGTGTTGCTGCTGCGGTGCCGGACTCGTCGATTGTTTCACAATAGGAATTTCGGTGTCTGAAATGGTTGAAAGCAGGGAACGATGGTTTAAAATCCTGTTACTTAGTTGACTAAAATATTTTCTAACTTAATTTTCATTGAGAATCGGTATTGCTCTTTATAATGATCAAATATTTATGATATTGAGTGAAATTTTAGCTTAGAAAATTTAAGTTGTATGATTTTAACTGAAAATAAATTCTCCCTTTTAAACAATTGATCGAAAAAACAACCATAAAAGCTTTTAAAGCATCGAATAAATAGAGATCCTTCAGCGACATCAATTTTAATTAAAGGTTAACATTGCTTTAATGAGCCTAAATAAGCATGTGCATTAAAAATACCCCCTGTCACATAATAGCTAAATAATTAAACATCCTTCAACATCAGTTCGAATTAAATTTTGGGATTGCTTCAATCACCAGAAATATGTACCCTACACTTTCAAATCCCCAGCCGTCGTTGCTGTTCCAATTAAACGAATACTTAGCCTCATCGCGAAATATTTGCAGGGCCCTCACAGCCCCCTCTTCTTTTTATTTGGCCCACCAACCACTTGACTACGCCCCTGTCCTCTTCACAGCTGTCAAAATGCCTATCCAACGGGCTAATAATACAAAAATTCGCATCATAATTTCATAGAAATGTCATGTTGAGCGAAATATGCAAAAGGAAAACGAATAAAACAAAACGAAACGAAACAATTGAAATGCCCCAATTTGGTGAGCCATGAACTCGCAACCGTTAAAAACAACGCCAGTGGAAAGGCAGCAAAAAAAATTAGCTTCTCACTTTCCTTTGGCAGTTGTTGTTGCTGCTGCTGCAGCTGAAAAGTAAAAGTGCATTTTCACTTATTTCATGTAGCAGCAGCAGCCGCAGCGGCATGAAAATAAGCAGAGGCAAAAAAATTGCATTGAATGTCAAGCGGTACGCACACACACACACACAAACAGCAACTGCAGTGTGCAGGAAAACGTCAAAGCCAGCGGAGCAATGAAGCTTGCAAGCACACTCACTCTCACAGATATACACCATGCCATACACACACACACACAGCCGAGTGGCAGCAAGAGAGGAAGAGAAATCAGGTCAAGGCTTGTCGGCAACGGCGACGAGTTTACAATTTATGCTTTGCTGGCTGCATTATTGCATGTTGCGGCTGTGTGCGAGTGCTTTTTACAGCTTTTTAAATACACGGCGGCCCAGCCGACATCGCACACTGGTCAACAAATTATAAATAGCAGTTAAAAATACAAATTGCCAATCCTTAAATATAAAAATGTATGAAAGTCCCATGATAAACATTCTACAGAAAAAAGTTCTAGACTTTTAACCAATTAGAATCACTAAGAAACTGATTTAACTTACACTGATTTAAGAAAAACTTTTTAAAATTTTATTTACATATTTATATTTGTTTAGCTGGGAGCTAAAATTAGTACCACGTGTTTCATTAATTAAAAAATGCCATATTTTTTTTGTACATAAAACAAATTAAAGGTTTGAATTTGTTATCAAAAAATATTTTGTAATTATCACACGTTAAAAATATCAATTTAATTCCGATACAAATATAATTTGACCCACTGTGCGACGTAGTCGTCTCGTTTTGATTGCCGCCCGCCGCTCCACTCGTCGTGGGTGAATGAGAAGCATGTAAAAATATATATACCCATATTTTTTCTTGATATGTAAAAAATTCAAAAGCCGCAACAGCACAAAAGCGTATTTACCCACAAAAATAAAAAGCCAAAGTCGTGACGGAAATCGCGCGGCAACAAAACAGCTGTGCGGTTGCATTGGTTAACCACCCCCCTCCTCTACCCACCCCTCCCCCTTCTACCCACCCACAATTAGCCTGCTGCTGCAACAGCAGCAACTTTTTAACGGAAATTATAAATATAATTTTCGCCAAGTTTTCGTTGCGAGAATTTCCCTCTATTTACTTGGCTCTTTAATCGCTTGTCGAAGTGGAAATGTCGGAAATGCCCGTCACTTGCCTCGATTTTTTTGCGCTTGTCTGCGTTTTTCTTTTAGTTTTTCCGTGGGGAAGTGCTCACGTGTTGTTTTTTACTGCGGCATACGCGGCGTATGCGTAATTTGTTGCAGGTGGCCGCCGACAAGTTGATTTGAGTAAAGTTCTCAATGATAAATCATTGACATGGAAATGTCTAAACAAATTTAATGAAAAAGACAAAAATATGCAGACAAAAAAATTGAGAATAATTTACATCGTTTTAACAAGTATTTTTAATTTTTCCCTAATTACTTCACAAATGAAATATGTAAATTTTAATTTTCAAGAATTTTTAGTTTGGCCACTACCAGCATTTCGATTGGAGCTGTATATTGGCACTAGAAAATTCCTGGAAATTCACATACAAATTATTCTGTTTATTCCCGGTGAAATAGTTTATATCCGTGTGTACAAAACGTGAGCGGTTACTTCCTGTGCGGCATACTAGGCGTATGAGTAATATACGACCGCACAAATTAAGCATACGCCTAGGTGAACAACGGAAGGAAGCCAGAGAATATACATGAATTTCCTGATGGAAGAGTAGCAATCCTCCGCAGAGCTTTCACTGTACTTGTTTTGTGGCACCCCCATGGTAAAAGAAATAAAATATAAGAAAAAAAACCGAAGCAGAAGCCGACAATCAGACCGCCAGAGGTTCAGCTTTAATGGTGCATAAACAAACACAAACACGGCAGAAAGAAAGACAAATAGCCAGTGGTAATTGAGTCTACAAAACATTGCAATGCTGCGCCAAATGTGCGCTGACCTCTAAAAATGCGGTCTAATAAAACCAGCAGAAACTAACCAACCGACAAAATACACAGAAATACAAGAGAAGAAGAAAAAATTAAATATATTACGAGAAAACAAAGCAAAATTGGCAAACAACAAAAAATAATAAAAAACAACACACACACACACACATGGACATGTCAAAGAAATTAACGGTAAAGTCATGTGCATGTGAGCTGGTGGGTTTTGCTATTTTTCTTTTGTTGAATTCGAATTTGGACTTGAACTGGCTCGTTGATATGTGCGCGGCATTTTGGGACAGTTACATCACAATTCCGGCGGATAGCGCAGCATTTGCCGCAATAGTAGGTCAATGTAGGTACGAGCCATCGTTGCTTGTTACCTCGATGATTAGTTTGCCTTATAAAGTCGATATGCTTTTTGTTTTATTTTGGTTTGGGTTTTGGTTATAGTTTTGTTTTTCGTTTTCGGGTTTCAGTTTTGCGGTGGATAAGGCGTCATCGGAGGTGCTTGAATTTTGTTTACAATTTTCGTAGCATTTCCGAAAGCCGTAGAAGCTGCCCGCCTGTCTGCCCAACAACAATTGCACACCAGCAGCAACAATTTGTAATTGTTTATGGCATTTTGGTTATTGGCCTATTTTTGATGTGCCCAACAACCGACGTTTTGTGAGTTGTGGGCGGTTTGGTAAGAAACGGAAAGTGAATTTTTGTGTGGGCCCCAAGCTGAAGGGGGATTTACCTATTGAGCTCAGCCTTTATCACATATAACGTATTTTCATCTGACATTAATCAGTGGAAAGTAGGCAAATGAAATTGTATATTTCAGAGTGCTGGGCTTTGGATTATTGCTTTGGTCTGCCAGATCAAATTACATCGGAAAATAGCTAAAGGCATTTTATTGGCAGTTGAAAGTCTGTTACACATTTTGTTGGTAAACGAATGGGACTAAGTTGGACATACTTTTAGATTTTTGTTTATTTTTAGGTAATATATTCACATTTTAGTACTTATTTTTTTTGATTTAAAAATTCTTTTTATAAATCTTTCAAAACAATGTATTTAATCATGCAAATTAAAGCGAATAAATTAGAATAATATTTATTTTCGTAAATAAGAAATGCCTAATTTAAAATGCATTTACATTTTGTTCATTTTGTGTTAATAGCTGCAAATAATCCATCAAAAAACCGCCTTGCCCTACTTGTTTACCAGCAAAAAACATATACAAATTCTATTCATCATAAAAACCATTAGAAAAACCCGCGATGGATGCCACACGAATTCCGCGAATGGCCGAAACCAAAAACGACAACAACTAGAAATTGTTTTGTATCGATAATTTCACTTGTGCGGCGCAATAATGCGCCAAACCGGAATCAAAATGTGCCTCAACTGGGATACATGTTTATTTATTTATTACCAATAATAATAATAATACAATTTATGGTGGTGCCAAATAAAACAAAAACACTATAGAATTATGGGTGTGGTGGAAGAAAGCTAAATTCAAGTTAATTCGACTGCAGCCGCGACAGACGAAAGTAAAATGCACAAAGAGCCGAAAACAAAATCAACAGGAACGGGCGACAACAACGCAAAAGTTCTATATTTAAATATTATAATTTATGTGTTTGTTTGGCAATTGTATTGTATTTGTTGTTGGTGTGAATGTCTCTTCCCCATTTTTTTTCGTATATATTTTTTTTCGGGTTCCGTCTGCCTCGATTTGCACGATCCCCATTATTCCCACTCCCATTCCCGATCCCCAGGCCCATTCCCCCTTTTTTTTTGCCATCTTCCCGTCTTCTCTTTTTCTCTGGCTCTCTGGCGCTCTCTAAATTCCTGTTCTGCCGACTTATTTTGGCTTTCATGCCGCTGCCAGCGTCGCTGCTTTCACGGGCGCCTATGTATTAGTGGCCAGAATAAAAGCCAGTTGTTGTTCTCTCGCTTTTTTTCGTGCGTTTGTATCGGAGTGTCTGTGTGTGTGTGCGCTTTTTGGAAATTCAGTCTCAAGTTCAAGGTCTCGCGGATAACGCACACCACCAAAGGGCACACTGCTCACACAGACGCCAGATTCTCATTGTTCACACACACAATCGCAGGCAGCGAGACATATGCATATCAGGCAATTTCTCATTGTCGTACGAAATGTATGTTTATTTAAGCTACATATGCATTTAATATGAATCCGCACACACACACGCACTTTCGCGTATTTATATAGACAACAGAAATTCTTCTTC